GTAAGATGAAATTCAAGCTTTTACAAGATACTCTGTATACATGTTTGGCATGTTATGCTGATTTGTATTACAGTTTCTTGGACTTTCTTCATATGTGCTTCAACTCTTCAGGCGCAGTGATTTGAGTTTGTATGTCAATTGTCACATAACAAAAACATGTATAGGTCACTTGGAGGCAGCATGTTACTGGAGGAAAGCTATTGGAGATAACTGAGGAAGCCAAAAGTTTTGCAGTTGGAAACAAGGCTCTTGCTGCTCTTTTTGTTCATACTACAGCAGGAGAGCTGCAGCGCCAAATCAGAAATTGGCTTGTGGAGAACTTTGATTTTCTTTCTGTTAGTGATGACACAGTTGGAGGAGCTACTGGCCAGCTGGAACTTCTTTCTACTGCAATAATGGACGGCTGGATGGCTGGACTTGGTGCTGCAATGCCGCCCAATACGGATGCCCTGGGTCAGCTTTTGTCTGAATATGTAAAGAGAGTTTTTAGTACCCAGCTTCAGCACTTGAAGGTATTTTAAGATATTTCATTTTGCTTGTGGTAAATAAGACATGACTTCCAAACTTGAACACCGATATTCTTTTCTTGATGCATCTGTTTTTCTTCCTTCGAAGGTGTGTATTTAGTTCCTTAGAGGCATAGTTACCCATTTTCTTTAATTAGTTGCTACCATTATGAATTTGTGCCCCTGCATAAATAATCCCAGTTGCCATTGCCCTACTTGAATATTAATCCCTCCGCCCTGAAAAGGAGTCTTATTTGAAATTTTATTCTTGTCAGCAGATGGCATAATTGCACGACCACGTTCTGGTCTTCTAGATCCTAGCAATTCCTCTTTTATGCAGAACGATGCATCAACTTATGGAGTCGATCAGCCAGATTTACTTAAAGTGAAGCATGGAGATCATGTTCTGTCTGCCAGTGTGCAAGAACCTTCACGCACACCATCTTCACAGTCACCAGACTCCAGACTCTTATCTTTGGATAGTGATAGGTTTGCAACAGCAGAAGCTTCAGGTTCTTCGAAACTGCCTGATGTAGCATCCAAGGATCCTGCATCAAGAGATCGAGAAAATGGAGACCGGTTTAAAAGTGATGTTTCTCAGGATGAGATTGAACTTAGGCAGCAAAGAGGTGCCACTGCAAACAGAATATCCACGGATAGGCCTCCAAAATTTTCAGAAGGAACACCAAATGGAGTTTCAGCCACAACAGCTGCTCAGCAAGATAATGTTCGACCCCTTCTTAGTTTGTTGGAGAAGGAACCCCCATCTCGCCATTATTCTGGTGTATGTTCGCCATCTCACTGGGTTGGAGAAACATGACAGCATCCTTCCTCTACTTCATGCTTCTACTAATGATAAGAAAACAAATGGCTTGGATTTCTTGATGGCTGAGTTTGCAG